CCCCCAAAATGTCACCACAATGCTAAGTCCTTTTACATCCCAACTGGAGTCCACCAATGACAATTAGACATGTACAAATTTGTCTAAGCTTAAACAAAACATATCCACCCCTTGTGCTCAAATTGTCAACATTCCTAAGTCTTCTATAACCTAAGGGGATATTCTTCATTTGATTCTCAAGCTTTCTGCTGCGTAAACAGAACCCCTTCCTCCCTATATTACATGGGATTCCTTAGCCCTCCCCTCACCATCTATACTAAAACCGAAATGTTACAACAGGTTTCTCCCCATCATCTTAACAAGTGTGCCCCTTCCTGTACTCCTTTTCCTAATGGGAGCTGGAGTTCTGGCAGGAATAGGCACAGGGGTTGCAGGAATTTCATCAACACACTTCTACTACTCCCTATCTCAGGAGCTAAATGAGGATATGGAAAAGGTGGCAGACTCCTTGGTGACCCTACAACCACAAATCAATTCACTGGCAGCCGTGGTGCTGCAAAAGAGGTATGCTCTGGACATAATCATAGCAGGAAGAGGGGGGACCTGTCTCTTGCTGGGAGAAGAATGCTGCTACTTTGTAAATCAGTCAGGCATAATAAGCGACAAGGCTAGAGAACTGAGGGAATACATAGAAAAGTGCAGACAAGCTCTAAAAACCCAACATCCTTTGTCAGGGAATTTTAACCAATGGCTTTCTTGGCTCCTACCTTTCTTAGGACCTCTCACTATTATCTGCACGATCGTGCTTTTCAGACCCTGCCTGTTTTCAAAATTTCTTGCAGAAACACATGTGGGCCTTTACCAACCAGTCAGTGAACTCACCATGGCTGGCTACCAGCCCCTCACTTCTGATGCTGGCTCCACCTAACGAGAGACCACACTTTGGCTATCTAAAGCCCTCATCCAACAGTGCCCCTTTGACAGCAGGAAGTTGCTACAGAAAAAGAGACCTTTACCCCTATTCCATTATAACAAGAGTCTGGTGTGATGAGTTCTCTACCAGACAAAATGGCCCCAACAGTCCTACATTCTAAAATGGCTCCCGTTCCTAAAATGGTTCCCGCTTATGGAAATGAACCACTTCGGAAAAGTGAAACCTACCTCCTCTGGAGAAGCAAAACGTAACTTGTTGCTCCACCCTGCTACCCACGTGATTCTCCCCTTTCAATCACCTGTCATCCCATTGCTCAACTCTCATGATACTCTCCCTGCTGCACTGCCCTATATTGTTCTGGAAATTGCAGAAAGAAATACACGGAGACACAGAATTCAGGAAAAATAATAAAAGTTTACTTGCAAGCAGGCAGGACTGCCAGAAACTGGTCTGGTCAGTGTCCATGTCCGGCTCTTTGTTAGTCTCCTCTTTTATACCTTTGTTAGTCATCTCATCCCCAGTGGTCTTTGTTAAGTAAATAAAATTCCAATTCCTGTTTAATGGTTAGACACAGGTGGTTTCTGTTACTGATTACAGTCCTAAACACGTGACAGTTAAAGAAGATATATCACAAGTTTGCCCAAGCATTGCAACCTTGTACTTCAGAGTTAAGATGTTATCTGTAGGAAGGCTACAGATCGAGTCATATATCCATCGCTTTAAACAACCAGAGCAATGGGCTAAGGCAAGTTTTATTTTTCTCAGAAGTAGTATATTTCTTTCACAAATACTTAGGATTTCCCAGTTTTCTTCCCTCCTTTTCAATGCTGCACAGCAAGGCACAGCTGGGGAAGAAGGGTGTAGGCCCAGCATAAAGTACTGTCACCCATGCCAATGGGCTTGGCCCCACCATCTCCATCAGCTGTCACTGAGCACAGTGGTGTCACCTACCGACCCCAGCGGCACACTGGAGTGTGACACACTATGGGTGATGCCCAGGACACTGCTTTCTCTCACTCTATCTTCTGAAAGGCCTTGATGGGAGCGACTCTGAGAGCAGCAGGGTGCCGTGGTGGAGAAACCCTGGGCTGGTGTTTCTGGAAAGTGAAGAACATGGGCAAATCCTGGCCCCTACACCCTTCAGCTCGGGGTGTTGGATGAGGCAACAGGACCCTGGGCCCCATTCACAGCTACAGTCTACGGTTGGTGGCATCAGGGCTGCACTGGCCCCAGGAGGTGCTCACTGTTTTGGTGAATTTTATATACAGAAGCAGTGCTGCTCCTCAGTGTCCCAACCTTGTCCTTATGCTGTGTCCAGCTTCTTGGCTGAGCAGAGGGGGAGTTGATGAGGTTACCCCTCAGATCCCTGCAGCTGCAACCACCTTGCCCTTCCAGTGCCTCAGACTGCAGTGCTGAATGCACAAGGCCCTGGTGGTGCTGGCTGTGTCCTCACATTTGCTGTCCCACAGAGGGGACCGACGGGCAACTGCCTGTCAGTGCCTCAGCCAGGGTCCCACCTGCAGCCCACCAGGTACAGAGCCCCTGGGCACCCCAAAATGTCTTCCATACTTCAGGCTCTCCTCTGGGCTGTAACTCGGGGGAGGGGGGGAGATAAGTGAGCCCTGAGAGGGAAATAATTTCCCAGGACAACATTCCTTCACTGCCTCACTGCAATCCTGATTCTGTACAACTCAGAATGGTTCCCCCCCCACTTCTCCAGCACACTTGCTGTGGGAGAAATTCCAGCTCTTCTCAGCCAGAGAGTAGAAGGATTCTTTCTCTCCAAGTCATGAGACTTCTTGTTCAGAATTCTGGGTTGTCTCACGGTAGCAAATTATTTTCAGAAACAATGGAAACTCTGTTTCCGAAAGTGTTTCCTGAGGCTGGGCAGTGCTCAGCATGCTGCCAGAGTCCTATTGGGCCAAGCCGTGGCACCCTGCACTGAGGGCACACACACAGCTCTGGAGTGGGCAGGATGCAACCTGCACACCCAGGACTTCTTCCTGGCCACTAGCTTTTGTTTACCCATGATTTTATCATCGCTTCTCAAGAGTTTTGCATTCAAATCATTTCCTCATAGTTTAGTGGCTGCTCAGGCACAAACTAACTAAAGCACTTAAGGCTGGCACCCCTGGAGCTCCCCCAACAACCCCAACTTGTCTTTGCTGGATCTTGAGAAAAGGGGCCAAACAGTCCAAAGAGGTCCTGGCTGGGTAGCTGCTCACAGGTTTTCTAATTCAGCTGTCAGCTTGATGGAGGCCCCAGCAAACTGAGCCAGCTGTTTGATGTGTGCCCTTCTTCCCTATGATGGCACCCACAGCCTGGGTCAGGATGAAGAGATTCACGATCTCCTGCTCTGGGTGTGAGTGATGATGTGGGAATGGGCCCAAATGGTGGTGCAGGTACAGGCTGGCCAAGTATCTGGAGTATGTAGTGAAGGGGTGGTAGGGGGCAGCGGGGAGAACCCCTTGGGGCCCTGCTGGTGGAGGCAGCATGGACAGTCCTGTTGAAAAGATGACAAGTGTGCTGAGGTTCAACCCCAGTATCAGACTGGTTTGTTGATTAATGGGCAGCATGTCATTTTCAAAGGCCTCACACAGTTTCTTCATAATCTCTACCTCAGCACTGGCACAGGCTTCCACTGTGCCCTTCACTGTGATGGTTCGCTCAGGGTTGTATATACTCAAATCCTGCAAAGATGAGATTGTTATCTTGGTCCCCGTCTCATGTTCAATTTTCTTCAAATTTCTGCCTTCTTTGCCAATCAGTCTTCCAACCAAGCTATTGTGGGCTAAGATTTTCAGAGGAATCTCTTCAGCTAGTTTGGTCTCATCGGCCTCTTTGTCCATGATTTCAAGGATCATGCAGCAGGCTTCAGATGTCCCCTCTGGGGTGGCATGGATGGTGAAGCACAGGCTTCTCTGCAGCCCCAGAGCTCTCCTTCCTGTGGATGTCTATCTGGGACTGGGTCTGGTTAGTGATGTTCTTTATGGTCAAGCCCTCCTTTCCGATGATGCCACCAACAAACTGGGTGGGGACCAGGATCTGCAGCAGGGAATCAATCTGTCTAGCCTGAGAAGAGCTCCCAGGGGCGTGGCCTTGCTCCCGGGAAGAGTGGTCCCCACACTGGGCTCCCCGAGGGGGTGAAGGGGAGCTCACCTCTTCATTGGGGATGTAGGAAATCTTGAAGTAGTTCTCAAACTGATGCTCACTTAGCTTCTCCATGGCTATTTTTGCTTCTTCTCTTGTTGCATAAGTGACATTGATAACAACAGTTTCTGTATCTGTGTTGACTCGTTCCACATTCTCCACTGTCCCATACTGAGCCAAAAGTCCATCCAATACTTCCCACTGTAGGTGAGGAGGGATGTTTTGAATCTGAATTTTCCTGCTCCTTAGATTTTCAGAGACCAAATAATCAACTTCCGTGATTTTCCCATGCAATTTCACTTTACTAGAGAGGGTCTCAATGGCATGGATGGCCCAGTTTTGGTTGGGGTAGTCCATGAAGGTGTAGACAGACTTGAGGAGGACCTGTCCTGCCAGGGGCAGCTTCTGTCTCCGAAGAGCTGCCAGAGGTTGGCAGTGACATCAGGGCTCAGGTCCCCAGTGTAGAGCTTGTTCATCATCTGCACCTTCCCCTCCACTCCAACCCCCTGCGGGCCCTGTGCCTGCCCCGCCCCTAAGGTAAGTTTTATTTTGTAAAGGGATACACTATTTTGCTTCTACAACTACTTTAATAGTTAATCTACTAAGCTGTCTCAAACTTTTTCCCTATCAAAACAAACCTCATCCCCAGTTAGTCTCGCCCTCTCTTGCCATTGTTTGAGGCAGCCTGGCAGCTCCTTCCCCAATAAAGCCCTGCCTGGGGTTAAAAAAAAAAAAGAAACTTCACCTATGTGTTTACTCAAATTGACTGAGAACACTGTTGTAAAAGGCCTCCCTATAGCTTTTATTTATTTATTTATTGGTACTGGGGATTGAACTCAGGACCTTGTGCTTGCAAGGCAGGCATCAGCACCACTGAGTTAAATCCCCGGCCCCTTTGAGACAGGGTCTTGCTCTATAGTACAGGCTGACATTGAACTCACTGTGGAGCCCAGGCTGGCCTCAAACTTGTAGTGATCCTCTTGCCTCAGCCCCCTGAGTACTGACATTACAGGTGTGTACCACCACACCTGGCCAACCTTCCTATAGCTTTTAAACTCTATAAATCTTTTGATGAAGAGTGAAGGATGAACTGTGCCTAAAGGTCTTTCCACATTCACTGCATTCAAAGGGTGTCTCACCAGTGTGAGTTCTCATGTGCTGAGTTAAGGCAAAGTTGTCACAAAAGGCCTTTCCACATTCTTTGCACTCAAAGGGTTTTTCTCCAGTATGGATTCTATAATGCCGAATGAAATTTCCAGGTTGTGTAAAGGCCTTTCCACATTCTTTGCAAACATAGGGTTTCTCTCCAGTGTTACTCCTCATGTGTCAAATGAAGGAAGAGCTATAGGAAAAGGATTTTGGACATTCTTTACACTTTAAGGGTTTTACTCCAGTGTGGCTCCTCTTATGTCCGATAAAGGCAAAGTGCTGTGTAAAGGCCTTTCCACATTCATTGCATTCATAGGGCTTCTCACCAGTGTGACTCCTCATATGCTGAATTAAGGAAGAACTGTCACAAAAGGCCTTCCCACACTCTTTGCACTCAAAGGGTTTCTCTCCTTTATGAGTTCTCTTATGCCTGATGAAAGTAGAGCAATGAGCAAAGGCCCTTGCACATTCACTGCATTCATAAGGCTTTTCACCAGTGTGAATCCTCATGTGTTGAGTGAAGGAGGAGTTGCGACAAAAAGCTTTCCCACATTCTTTGCATATAAAGGGTTTTTCTCCTGTGTGAGTCATGTTATGGCGGATAAATGTAGAGCGGTGAGTAAAGGCCTTTCCACAATCAGTGCACTCATATAGTTTCTTTCCAGTGTGGATTCTCATGTGTTGGGCAATAGAAGAGCTGTAGTAAAAAGCTTTTCCACATTCTTTGCACAAAAATGGTTTTTCTGTACTGTGTATATGTTGGTGCTCTGTGAGGTGAGACCTGCGTTTGAAGGCCTTCTCACACTCATTACATTCATAGGGCTTCACGCCAGTATGAATCTGTTGATGCTGAGTAAGGGCCCAATTCTTGCCAAAGGCTTTTCCACATTCTTTGCATTTATAGGGCTTGTTCTTTGGATCAATCACATGGTCTTTTCCTGGCTTTTCAGAGCCATGGTCACGGATAGCATCTTGTGCAATGACTTGCTCCTGTAAAACTCTTAAACACAGATTATCACTTGTCTTCAAATCATCATGTTTATGGCTCTGCTTTCCAGAGCATGTCTCCTTAGAGAGGTCTGTTCCTGGCCTCAAGTTGCCTTCCTGCATTTCTAATAGCCTTTCCTCATGTGTGGCTTGCCCCAACCTGGAATCCCTTGAGGATCTCTGTATCAGTTGTTCTTGATAAGAGGATTCCTTGGAAAAGACTAGCTGAGAATCAGAAGGCTCTGTTGTATCAAGTTTTGCTTTCTCACCTAAAGAAAAGTCAACATAGAAAGCCATCTATTAGTGACATAAATAAAACAAATAAAATTACCACTTTAGTAGAAAAATAAAGATGAAAATATAGTGATCTTGATGCCTATTGTGTTTGAATTTTTTTTTTTTGAGACAGAGTATTGCTATTTAGTTCAGGCTGGCCTTGAACTCACTTTGTAGGCCCGTAAACTCACTTATGTAGGCCCAGCCTTGAACTCCCTATGTAGGCCTGTGAACTCACTATGTAGGCCTGGCTGGCCTCAAACTCATGGTGATCTTCCTGTCTCAGGGTCTTGAGTGCTGGGATTACAGGTGTGTACCACCATGCCCAGCTTGCGTTTGTGCATCTCTTAAAACCAATTTTGCATTTTTTTTTCTAATATGTGGGCTTTTGACATCTTTCAAAGGAAACCCAGGAGGAAAAGCTGGGGCAAGGGAGAGAGAACCTGGAATGAAGACTATTCCTAACTCCACTGTGTGTAATTAATATGGTCTAAGAGAAGAAGTTTCATGTCAAACAACACATATGATACACCTAACTTGGTCCAGATGGGAGTCAGAAAGAGATCTATGGAGGCTACTCAGGTGCTTATATGAGCTTATTTCTAAAGAAGAGTAAGAGTTACCAGAAAGAAGAATTAGGAGGGAAACTGTGGCAAATTAAAAAAGAAATTACAAAGGTTTAGAGTCTTAAGAGATGCTGAATACTCAGCAAAGTGAAGAGGGTGAAAGAACAGTGGAGATGAGGTATGCAGGCAATAGTAAAGGAAAAATAAACTGTCAAGATTCAGACTCTGCAGGCTGGGGATTTATCTCAGTGGTTTCGCTGCCTGCTGCACAAGCGGAAGGACCTGAGTTTAATCCCTGGTACCAAAAAAAAAAAAGATTCAGACTCTGCAACAGTGGAAGAGGGTGAGAAGCAAATGGACATATATACTGAGTTTGCTATATCTGGGTAAAGACCAAGTGAACAAGCCTAAAATAGATAACATGTAGATGAAGAAAACTAAAATTTAAAACATGAAGGATCTATATGAAGAAAAAGATTAATAATAAAGTTATAATTCTTCATAAATTCAATACACATCAGGTAAAATTCCAATAGAGTTTTTCATAGATATTGACAAGCTAGTTATAGATTTTATATAGAGACTGGGTATCTCTGAAGAAGAATAAAACAGGAAAACTTGCCATTTAAAGTATTACTATCTCCCGGTACCACACACACACAAAAAAAGTATTACTATCACAATGCTTCAGGGCTGTGTAGTCAGAGATATAAGATAAATTGTCAAGGGAAAAAGTGGAATAGAGAACTAGAGATGTACAATACAATTTATTAAATGTCTTACATAAGATATAAATGCAGTAATCATAAAAGAAAAACTAGTTATTTGACTAAACCAAGATTAATAAAAATTTAAAAAGAAAAAGGTGGCTATGTTAATACTAGATAGTCAAATGAAGACCAAAGAAAACAAGAGAAATAAAGACATTACACAGTGATAAAAAGATTCAGTAAGAGGGCCGGGGATTTAGCTCAGTGGTTTTGCTGCCTGGTGCACAAGTGCAAGGACCTGACTTCGATCCCCGGTACCAAAAAAAAAAAAAAAAAAGATTCAGTAAGAACACAAAACTATCCTAAACTTGTATGTAACAAACACCAAAATCTCAAAATACATGAACCAAAAACTGAATTGGTAAGAGAAATAATAGGAAACAGGGAATAGATCTTTTCCCAATGGGAAGAGGACCAAGACATGGAGTCAGGAGGGATAGAAGAGAATGTAAATAGAATTAAGATGTGTTATATACATGTCCCCAGAATGAACATAATCATTATGCATTACAAATGTGTACTAATGGGCCGGGGATTTAGCTGAGTAGTTCTGTCGCTTGCCTTGCAAGCGCAAGGTCCTGAGTTTGATCCCCGGTACCAAAAAAAAAAAAATTCAGTCTACAAACGTGTACTAATAAAAATAAATATTTGAGGAGCTGGGTGTGGTGGTGCACACCTATAATCCTAGTACTTGGGAGGCCAAGGTAGAAGGATCACCATTAGCTTGAGGACAGCCTAGGATACAGAGTGAGTTCAAGGTCAGCCTGAACTACATAAGCAGGACCCTGTCTCAAAAAACAAAACAAAACAAACCTACTACTAAGAAATAAAAATTTGAAATATTGGGCCAGGGATTTAGCTCAGTGGTTCTGTTGCCTACCTCATGAGCACAAGGTCCCGAGTTTGATCCCTGGTACCAAAAAAAAAAAAAAAATTGAAGTATTTTAACACTCATGTTGGCCAAGTAGTGTATGAAGACGTGCTGAAATTCTTAGTAATGAGTTGTTATGGTTTAGATCTAGATGTCCCCCCAGAGACTCACATACTCATAGGTAGGGCTTTTGGAAAGTCACTGAATTATGTGAGTGCTATAACTGACTTGCTGTTAGGCAGGATCTGGTAGAGACAGGTCACTGGGGGTGTGACCTGGAAGGACACAGCTCCTTCCCCAGCTCCTTTTACTCTCTGCTTCCTGTTCATCATGAGGTAAACAGTTTTCCTCTACCCAAGCCATTCCACCATGTTGCAGACCATGCAAGGACTGAAACTTCTGAAACATGAACCAAAATGAACCCCTCTTCCTTTAAGTTGTGGGTATTGGGTATTTGTCCCAGCAATGAGGAAAATGATTAAGATAGAAGGGGAAAACAAATTAAGATCACAATGAGATACCATTTTATAATTTCTTGATTGAAAATACTTAAGAACCTGACAATATCAAGTACTGCAGGGAATGTGAATCCATGGAATTGTTCAGACAATGCAAATAAAGTGTAAATGGGTATATAGTATTCTTTATTCATGGTTTTGGTTTGTGTTTTTATTACCCAGTCAACCATAATCTAAAAATACTACTGTAAGATTTTGAGAAAATCCACGTTCACTTAACTTCTATTACAGTATATTATTATAATTGTTCTATTTTATTATTAATTTTTCTTAATTCCTTACTGTTCCTAATTTAGAATTAAATTTACCAAAGGTATGTATATATAGGAAAATAAACAGTATATATAAGATTTGATACTATCTAGTTTCAGGCACACACAGAGGATCTTGTAATGCCCTCACCCCAATAAAGCAGGACTATTTTGTTTTTGTTTTTGTGTTTTTGAGACAGCATCTTGGTATATAGTTCAGGATGGCCCTGAACTCACTATGTAGCCTGGGCTGGACTTGAACTCTTGGTGATCCTCCTAGTTTAGCCTTGTGAGTGCTGGGATTACAGATGTGCACCACTGCGCCTGGCAAGCAGCAGTACTGTAATCATTTTAAGAAACAACAGAGTATCACCTAACAAAGTTCTCCTATTGTTTATCTTAAAATTCAAAATCCAAGTCAGATGAACATTACTTAAACTCCTACACATGTGAATCAGGATACATTTTTTTTTTGGTACTGGGGATCGAACTTGGGACCTTGCACAGGGAGCCGGCAGAACCACTGAGCTAAATCCCCAGCCCAGGACATATTTTTATGTATGTTCATAACGGCTCTGTTTATAAGAACAAAAAAACTACATATAAACAAATAAATGTCCCTGAAAATGGATAAACATAAGTGGCTTACTCATGCAACTAACTACAGTACAAAAGAGTGAGTGATCTGTAACTACATGCACAATGAATCTTAGTAACATCCTTTTGAATAAAGAGTAAAAATCTTACAATATGCACTATCATATACTTTTTGTAATGTTCCAAAAAAACAATATATGTACCCTTTTTTTTTGGTACCAGGGCTCGAACTTGGGTCCTTGCGCTTGCACAGCAGGCAGCGAAACCACTGAGCTAAATCCCAGGCTATGTACCCATATAAGTACACTGAAAAAATCTTTTTAAAAATTTTTTGAGAATGTGGATCAGTTTTTCATGGTATTATATGAATGAAATGTACAAATCATACATTTATAGTTCACCTTTTTACTATAGTAAAATACATATAACATTTACCATTTTAAGATAAAATAATCTTCAAAAGTAATGGGTAGATAAATAAAGTGAACAAATCCCTTAAATGACTCAAATTACCAAAAAGGATACAAGAAACCACAGTAACTGAACTGCCTATATCCATCTCCCCTCACACAAGGTATCTTTCTACAGAACAAGAGATCATAAATTTGTAGTGGTACCACTCCACACACTTGATAGCTCTAGCTGTCCTTAGCATTTAGGATATAAGATTGAAAAAGGCAAACATGTCACCTAGAGATTGCAAGAAGGCAGGAGGGCAAGAATCCAAAAGGACTAGGGAGTGCTTCTGAGCCAGATTCACAAACAGAGGGTTGGGTGCATGAATGTATGGACAGGACAATCAATGACTGGATAGAGAAAAGAGTATAGCTCGAGAAAGGAACAACTTCTGAATCTGGAAGTAAGTCTGAGATGTCACTATTCATTATGCCTAATAATACATTAATACTACTAATAATAGGTAACTTTTGTTAAGCCATCCTGGATCAGGCAGTGTGGTAAGCAGTTTCCTGTTACCTAATTACATTCTCAAATAACCCAATGATACAGGAACTATTCTATCTTTTTCAAACAAAGGCTAAGTTTAATAGACTAAGTAAATGCTCACCATACCATGGGCACTTTTCCTTAGACAAAAAGCAAAACCACATTTCCAACCCTGTTATTGTATGTAGCTCAAAACTCTGTTCTTGTCAATGAAATGGAAAAGAAAGTGAATGGGTGCAAGTGAATATGAGTACTGCCCTTCTCTCCTATTTCTCTTGGCCAGGGAAACTGAAAACCACATACTGACCACAGAATGCACCTAGGTTCCTAAATAATACGTGGTGTAGGGCTCTCCTGCTGACCAGCAATAGAACTATGGTATGAATGAGAAAAAAAGTTTGCTGAGCCACTAAGAGGTTGGAATTTGCCTTTTAGAGGTCATATTAACTCAGCCCAACTGGTATACCAATGGCACAGTGAGGTCATACGACTTCCTCTTAAGCCCAGAAGCTATCTTTTACCCCTGATATACCACATTCTGCCCCAAGTAAAGATAAAGAGTATATGACGGGGGAGGGAACTCGGAAACGTAATTCAAAGGGATCTATGATCACTGAAGACCAAGGAAGGCCACAAAAAGAAACTGCTCACAGAATTTCAGATACAGTGATCCCATAGTGATCTGCAGGCTGCTATGACACCACATGCCAGACTCTCAGTCCCCTACCTGTACAGGTGTGTTGTAAGAGGCCTCTCTTCACCATCCATAGTCCCTGTCCATACTCCAGTGGATACATCAGCTCTGCTTTGGGAACAGGACACCCTGGTGTGAGGAATAAATGGTGTATTGGTATACTGGTAAAGACGAATAGTCTCAAATTTACAGGAGTGCATACCTTTACCACAAAGCCAGGAAACCTTAGAAAGAGACCCCACCACTGCTCTGGAAAGTATTCCTAATCAATCTATGCAGTAGGAGTCCATCTTCCTGTGCATCAGGACAACCTAGCAATGCTGAGTTTAAAAAAAATAATGGTGACCATGACTAAGCACTGGTAGTTTTGGGTTTTTTCTTTTTCGGGGGGGGGGGGTTGGTTTTTTAAGACAGGGTCTTACTACGTAGCTCAGACAGGCCTTGAACTATTAGCCCAGGGCGGCCTTAACGTGTGGCAATCTGTCTCAACCTCCTTAGCACAGAACTGGTAGTTTTTAAAGCCACTCAGGTATAGCTGGGTGTGGTGGTGCAGGCCTATAATCCCAGGACTTGTGAGGCTGAGCGAGGATGATTGCCAGGAGGTTGAGGCCAGCCTGAGCTGCACAGAAAGTTCAAGGCCAGGCTGACCCACACAGCAAGACCCTGGTGGAAAAAAAAAAAAGGCCAGAGATGGTTGAAAAACACTGAACCAAATAGACTGAGGAATGGCATCCACTAGCAGTCAGCTGTATGAAGTAAGCAGGTGACCTAAGCCCAGTACCCATTCTGCAGAAAAAGCCTTTATTTTACTTTATTTAAACCAAATGGGGGAGCTTTTTATTGCAGTTGTTCCTGTATCATCCTATGACTCCTACAAAGGTGCTGGCCTGATGACTAGGTGCAGGACAGAAAGAGACAGTTAGAGAACAGGGATGGCATCTATCAACCTGGGGGCCAACACCACCTCTGGGGTTTTCATTAGGTGAAATAATAAATTTTTTTTTAGGATGAAACCCGTAAAATTCCTTGTGACACCCAACAGGTCAATGTCTGCTTGAGCTGAGTTGGGGGGATGGAAGACTGCTAACTCCGGGCAGCCAGTCATCTTGAAGTCGAGATGTTTTGCCAACTCAAGTAGAGATGGCCTTATAGGGAAAACAAGGAAGCTCCCTAGGGCACAATCAGATAAAAGTAATTCAGCCTAATGGTCACTATGCCTTGCTAACCTAAAACAAACCAGAACACTATGCCTCAATAAATCTGGGAGTTTGAGTCAGTTCGGGGCTTCATTTTGGTGAAGTCCCTGGACCCTCCCCAAAGATGTCCTCTGTCTCTCATTTTTCATTCGTCTATCAGGGCTTGCTGGCTCAAACTCGGCAAAACCAGTGTGAGGTGGTCTTCTGTTATATTCACCCAAATATACTTTGCCAAATGTGAGGGCTAAACGACAAAAGACTCTGGAAAGAAGCCAATGACCGAGGCAACAGGACCCATAGAAACATCAACTGGAAAATCTTATCCACTGGGCTAGAATGCAACCAGTTGTCATGTAGCACATATTCATTGATGTCTGCTGTCTGCCTGGCACTGAGCTCAGTGATGGGGCAGTGGGAAAGGAAATGAGACTTTTCTTCATCTCTGTTAAGGAACTGAGCTCCCTATCTACTCAGGGACTCTGCTCGTGTTGGTACCTCCACCTAGAATGCTGTGTGCCATGCGTCTGCTTTCAACAACTCATCAAAGCTGCCATAAAATAGAACTGTATTTAACTTACTGATGATTGGATTCCTAGAAGACAGTGTGAGGATTTAGGCTGGTAGAGCCTTGTCAGAGGTAACCATTTGGATGTCTGTGAAAAAAGAGACTTTTGGCCTCTGTTCAATTCCTATTCGGACCAATTTCTAGGTAATATGGCTATTAAAAGTTTAAGTAGGAGAACATTTTGGACTTGTTCAATATAAGAAATACACTTGTAGCACTTGCTATATTCCAGATTGTATTCTAAGCACATGACAGATATCTGTTCACTCCTTTTATAGATACTACTACAAAGTTACTATAAAAATGATAAAATCAAATTAACGTGTGAATTCTCAGCAAGCTCATGCTGCCTGCTCAAGGCTGGGAGTTTGAGGCTGTTTCTTTTTACTGAGGGGGAAATTAGGCAACAGCTGGAGGAGTGTAAGACTTGGGACTAAGCCAAGATTTAAGAAACACAAAGTAGGAGGGACAAAGGGAAAAAGAACAGCTTTCTCAGATACCCATCTATGCCATTTGATAATGTGTCTGTATATCCCCTAAAATTATCTCCTGTACCAGCAGAGAAGCAAGGCACAGGCCTTAGGAAATAAGAGTCAACTATGCAGGTAGCAGGGACCAAAAAAGCCTTTTAGCTGAGGCCAAGTTGCTTAGAAAGATCCCAGTAGCAATGAGCACAAACACTTTCTATGGCCTTCTAAATCATCTTCTTCTTGGAGAATCCCCATTAACTGGGCTGTGAAGACATCTGACTCAACCACCCTGGGCCAATCACCTCACACTGAGGCCAGCTTGTGCTAGACATCAGGTGAAAGTGCTGAGAGGGAGACCAAAGAGAGATCAGACCTAAATATCCCCGAGGCTGCAGGGAGCAGGGAAGGTGGCCTCCTGAGGCATCCTTAACCAGTTATGCCTGGCAGGAAATAAAAAGAGGCTTTAAGTTCCTCACTCTGGAAGAGAAATGAGGCCTTACCCAGTGAGACCAGGAGCTCACAAGTCTCCAGCATCACTTCCTGGTACAGAGTCCTCTGGGTCAGGTCCAGATGCCGCCATTCCTCCCCAGTGAATGTCACAGCCACATCTTCAAACGACACCAATGCCTGGAAAGTCAAACAGAGGTGGTAAGGGTGGCTGTGAAGCTAATAAATGAGATTACAGCCTATTTCTTGGTTACTGGCAAGAGTTCGGATAAACTCAAGGCCTGAAATACTGAGCACTTCCTCAGAACCTCGCTGATGCTAAGCTCAAGATGGAGACAGAGTGCTTCTGACAGACTAGAAAGTATGGCAAAAAGACTAGGATGCCACTGAAGAATGACACAAGACAATGATAATATCACGTGGACTGGGAGGAGTAAATAGTAAGTGCTCTGGGACTTTAGAAGAATGGGAAGAAAATACAGTGGACCCTTGACTTACAAACTCAATCAGTTCCTGAGGGCTGGTTGTAACTCAAATTGGTTGCAGGTCAATTCAGCTGAGATCTGGATGTTTACCTGGGTACGCACTATAGATAACAAGAGGCAGATGAATCCATTAACCTAAGTAACCCAAGTTGTTGTTGTTGTTGTTTTTTGGTACTGGGGATTGAACCTGGGTCCTTGCACTGAGCTAAATCCCCGGCCCAACCCAAGTTGTTTGTATGTCAGGCTGGTTGTAACTTGAGGGTCCACTGTAATAATTCAAATAATGATTACAGCAGCAGCAGCAGCTGAGCCTCACTAATCTGCTGTTTGCCTGTCCGAGGCCTTTGCATGCTCTATTAAAGCAACTAAGTCTGCAGGTCTCCTGAGGTGTACGTCCAGCTTCCTGAACATAGGTCATATGTGTGACCCTGGGGATGTCTCTCAACTTTTTTTGAGCTTCAGTTTCCATATTAATACAATAATAGTTGCTACTATTCCAGGTTCTTATGAGAATTACAGAGAAAACGTTCATACAAACACTGCATTGCCTGTTACATGTCACAGAAATAATTTTTTGCATGTTTGCAAATTTTATTAATTATCCCATAGCCTGTGAGGTAAATGCCATCACCATCTCTGTTTTACAATCAGCAAATTGAGGCTCAGAGTCAACTCATTAAGAGCCATATATTTAATGAGAAGTAGGATTTGAACTCAGGTCCCTCTGGTCTAGTGTGTGAGTGTAGCCCTTTCTTCTGTAATTCTCACATTTAAAAGCATTTCAGCCACTCCTGGAAATATTTCCATAGATATGGAAGAACAAAGCCCTTATCATGCATCTGACAGAAGAGGTACCTGAGGAGATGTCAACTGCCTGGGACTGGGCAGGGCTCAAACAAGCTCTCCCTGCCCTGAAGTTGTAGCTGGGCATGAAGACTCCCTGGAAGATTCCACCAGGAGCCATCATCCTATTAATTTTTCCTTTCTGAGCCACTGTCAGCACATTTCCCTAAAGTATTATTACTTAAGTACCAGGTAACACAAGTGACTGAGGACAATGCAAGCTATGGCTCTAAGAACATAAGCAACAGCCTTTAGTATGATGAGTGTCTTGGGTAAGGATGGTCTAGTAGGATGAGGATCTGCCAGACACACAATCTCACTTCCTGAGGCACACTTCAGCAGCTTAAGAGAGCTACGGCAACCCCTCAGGCCCTCTCATGCCTCCTTGAACAAAACTTGCCTGTGTCCATGCAACTCCCTCTGTCTGAAGTTTCCTCAAAGTCCCCCTCATTCCCCGGCCCACTTGCCAGAGAAAGTCCTGTACCTTGCCTTTACAAAGTTCACTTCATGTGTCACTGAAGGGTTCCCCAAAACACTGTGGGTAGGATTTTTCCCATTTGTTCTTACAGCGCCCTGGGAAAGTTCAATGTTGCACACATCCAAGGGGCAGCCTTGCAAAGATCTGAAGACAGTGTGACAGAGGAAAGAAAGCAGCAAGCTTGGCCAAGTTCAGGCCAGCATAGCCCAAGGACAGGGCAGTGAGAGAGAACAATGGGAGGGTGGCCTGGTAGCAGAAGACTTTGTAGCTGTGGTGGAAGGTTTCATCTAAGTATGATGAGAGGCCCAGGGGGTAAATGGTACAGTCCAGCCCTGTCCTAGGAGCTCTAGGGTTGGGGACAGAGTCTCAACAATATATGAGCAAGAGAAAAAATAAATGAGCAAGATAAAGCCAGATGATTCTAAAGGCTCTGAAAGCAACAAGAGAATGAGATGACTACAAAGATTAGGGGAGATTTTAGATGAGACAACCAGGGAAGACCCAGAAATAAGGCTGGAATGAAGTGAGAGAACAGGCCCAATAAGGAAAATGAATAAATAAGACAAGTCCTGAAAGTGATTAGGGCTACCATGAGAGTAAACAGGGTGGCATGCTGGAGAGTAACCTGGAGTCTATTGTGTGTTTACACTCCAAAAGACAAAACACTCCTGTGGCTGTACTTAATGAATATTTTAATTGATTCTGTTTGGAAATACAGGTAAATACATTAGACAGAAAAATGGATTCATTGCTGCTAAGTGGCAGGCCAAATTCACTTATAATAAACAGATGGAATTTGCAAAGATAAACCCAGTGCTTCTTGTCTTCCAGCCTGCCAGGAGACTTCCTATTCCTGATAGAGAGCAGCAATTCCAAAAACTGCTCCCAACTTACCTCTGCCCTGAAGATTTTCATCCCTTCTCCCAGCTTTCAGGTAGATAGAAGCCTGAGGCAGGGAGACCTGAGGGCCAGAGTCCCTCCCCAGAAAGGCATTCAAAGCAATGCTCTCTTGGTGGTGTTGAGCACTGCAAAACATATGTCACAAGCATACCCTCTCCAGTTTCCTCAATAGCAAATATTCCCATTTCAGATCCAAGGGGATGAAGGCCAAGTGCAGTAAAGCATGAAGCTCAAGGCTGGAGCAACAAATGGGAAATTCTCAAAAGTCATATTACAATGATACATGCCTACCCATGTTTATAGTAGCACAACTTGCAACAACTACTAAGTCAACAGATGAACAGATAAAGAAAATTACACAATGGTGTACTAGTCAGCCCAAAAGAAGGATAAATTTGAGTCATTTGTACGAAAATGGATGGATCTTGAGACCATAATACTAAGTAAAATAAGTCAGGTTAGATATCACATGGTTTCTCTAACATGAGAGATCAAAATATAAATTTATAGAGCAAAATAAAAGAAAGATGGTAGAGAAAGACTGCGGAGAAGGGAAGAGGATTTGGTTAAGGAGGGAAGAGAAAGAAGGAGGAGTAAAGATGATCAAGATGCTGGCGTGATGGCTGGCACATGCCTGTAATTCCAGCAGTGGGGAGGCTGAGACAGGAGGATCATAGCAAGTTCGAGGCCAGCCTGGGCTACACAGTGAGCTCAAGGCCAGTCTGATCTACACAGAGAGACCCTGTCTCAAAAGCAAAGCAAAATGATCAAGATGCGATATGTGTAGGTATCAAATCCTCAAAATGAAACTATTATTTACTGCAAATACGCGGGGGGGGGCAGGCAGAAAATTCCTCTTAAAATCCCTCTGGATTGAAGATCCTGGGTTAGAAGTTATTATCCCTGCCCTTCTCCACTCCCTCATAGGATCTCCAGATCCCAGGGAATGGAAAGGGAAAGGGTCAGACTTCCAGGATCCCCTAGGACCAAGGGTGCTGAGCCAAGAGCTTTTGGGACGGCGGAGCCCTTCACTCACCAGCGCAGGCGCCGCCATGGGATGCAGTGGGAGGAGCAAGGCTGTGATGGGGGGCGACCAAAGCCGGTAAGGAGGCCTCAGCGAACCCCTAACTCCAGTCTTGGGCAGCGTAGACCCTCAAAGTTTCAGCTGCGTAAAATACACACAAGGCTCAAGGCGCCGCCTGCAGATGTGGGATAGAGGGCTGATACCGAGGCCCCCCCAAAGCGCTCAGCGGACAACTCTGTACGGGAGGGTGCGCAGGAGGGAGTCACGGTTCACACCATAGGTGCAAGTGGGTCCTGCTGTCCTCACTGTCCTTCTCTGCTTGGTCTCAAAAAACTTGAGAAGCAGCTCCCGACCCACACTTCACGCCACCACCAAATGACGTCAAGACCGGAAGCTAGGGCCATCCAGGAACTGCCCCTCGGTGTTCCGTCACTAGCTCAGTGCCTTCCTCCGACGACCAAAGCACTGCCTTCTGGGTAACGTAGTTTCTGACCAAAGTAAGAGCGGAACCTGGAGGGGATTTCTTGTTCTTGGGAAACAGTTTCCTAAGGTTCTGAGGAGGGGGTGTGGCTTCGCTTGCTCTTAAAGGAGACCGTACGGATTTTCGAGGCCCCTTGATCCGTGCTCATGACTCAGTCCTTGACAGCATCTCTGCCCCGGCCCTTAATCTTTCTGGGCCTTGAAATGTATAATAAAAATGAAGACAATTCTTTAATACAATATTAATTTTTTTCTTATTCAGTAGTTTTCAGGCCACATTAGCATTACTTGGGCTTTGCTTCAAATAAAAGATCTCAGATCCCATCTCAGATTTGCTATAGTGGGCATTCTGCATAAATCCTTCAGGGGATTTTGCTGCTCTAACACATTTGAGAATTCCCTTAAATTCTAGTGAATAAATAAAACAAAACTACCCTTTGGTGGGAGGTAACTAAAAAGTGCTTAATACTGGGGGCTGAAGCATAATAGGTAGGATCTATTGCTGTTATTATTATTTATATTCATATTATTGACAGCATCTTCACAACAATCTTACACTGCCATGAGGAAGTCTGAGATACTTCTTTACAGACTTATTGGTGATATTTGTCAAAACATAAAAACATTGACTCAACGAGGTGTCTCATGAGTAGTGTTCAGATTTTTTACATATTAATATATTTTTCACATTTGCTTCATGTGAGTTTTTTTCCTATCTCCACTTTGCCTTATCTTTCCCAGCACATTTATATGAGTTTCCTGTGTCTGTGTTGTGTAGGGTGTCTCAGTTCTTCGACGCCCCCCCCTCAGAAGATCTTTGAGGAGGTCCACAGAAAGGAACTCAAGAGTCAGCACAATTAGCAGGTTTGACAAGCAACCTTACTGGATAGTAAGCATGCTACACACTTAAGCAAGCCAGTTGCTTTTATGGGACAGTACTCTCCCCAAAAAGGAGAACAAGCAGCTCAGTGAAAGGCAGAATGTTACAAGGACCAGGTTGAATTCTCTCATTCTTTTAGAATTTAGGAAGTGTGGGTGTTTGTGTTACAGGGTTTTTTCCAATCATTTGTGAGACTCCAGCCTCCTACTTGGGGCAGAGTGTTGAACATATAAAATCTTAGCCCAAATGAATACGTATAGTGGTCTTTTGCATCCTACTCCCCTACAAGGGGGAGGGGAGGCTGAAACCACAAACAAACACAGGTATTTCTCATTTAGCATCATAGTTCCAATGCCACGGTCAGATCTTTAAATGAACTGGTCATTAAATGAGAAACTATATAGTATGTGCATTACAATATTCAGAACAAAGAATTGGTCAAAGGAAACTCTAATTGATCACTTTGCTTTTATTTGCATAATTCTTAGATGCAGCACTATAATGTATAACAACATAAAACTGACAGGTCCCCCAGGTTGGATCCCCTGCCCAAGTAGACCTGGTACCGGCATCCACAGGAGCATAGCAAGAGCAGGGAGCCAGCAGCCGCCCCACTTATCTACCAGAAAGCTGATTCTATGAAAACCAGGAGACTTGCTGTACCTGCCGCTGCCCTGCTGCTGTCACCACTGCCCTGTTTATCAGCCAGCTCCAGGCCCATCATCCATGGGACTCTAATATTTTTTACCCTCTGGACCAGTGCCCCCTCCCCTACCTAAACTGCCCCATATCAACCCCACACACCCTCCTCTCAGTACCAAAAAACAAAACAAAACAGTGAGTTACTAGTTCATATCAGGCTGCCCTTGAATTTGTTAGGATGAGTGAGTTAGAACAATAGAGATGTGCCACACTCTGCCGGATTTGAGCCCATTTATTATAGCCAGCAGCTGAGGGGGCCTAGTGCCTGGAAAGCTCCCTCGGCAGTGGGAAGTGGCTTGATTTCTCCTTTTAAATCACACTTTCAGCTGGGGAGGGCTCAGGGGAGAGCAAGCAGAACCATGCCAGGTTAGTGGGGGCACAGGAAGTTTCACACACACTCGGTGAGCTACAAAACATCCTGCAACTGCAGCAAGTTTACTGCCAGACAGGATGTGGGGGTTTGTTCAAGTGCAAGCTCTTTGTTCAAGCACAGGTACAAAATGGCATTGAGGCACAAGATAGAGTCAGGTTGGTTATCACAAATTCACTGCATACCCCAGGCTGGCTTCAAACTCATGGCAATCCTCCTGCTTCAGCCTCCTGAGAGCTGGGAAATACTGCACATAAATGAACACTGTAAGGTCCTGCATTCATGTGGTTTCGTTGTAAAAGAATAATGTTGAGAGAAGGAAAAATATTGTAGGTAAAATATAGACAGTACGATTCTGTTTACATAAAGATGATGGAAAGCAGATTAAGCATTTAGTTGTGCAGACATGAAATCATTATAAAATTATTTTAAAAATCAAGAGCAATTAACAAAAAATGTAGGACAGAAGCATGAGGGTGGACTGGAGGGATGCAGGATACAGAGGGTTAAGGAAGCTCTGTTCCTTAAACTATGTAATGGATTCATAAATATTCAGTTTTCTATTGTTTCTTAAATTGTTGATATACATGATTCACCATCTATCTTTTATATATGCTTTGGTATGGGTGGGATTTGTTCCCCAAGGTTCATATGCTGAAAGCTTGGACCTCTGTGTGTGGCAGTGTTGTATTAAAACCATCAAGAGGTAGGGGATTTGTGAAAGGTAGTGGGTCATGAGACTCGCACCCTTGGAAGGGATTAATGCAAGCCTGATGGGACTGGCTTAGTTCCAACAAGAATGGGTGGTTAAACTCGGCATGGTGGTGCACAACCTGTAATCCCAGTTCTCGGGAGGCTGAGGCAGGAGGATTGCTATGAGTTCAAGGCCAGTGTGGGCTCCATAGTGAGTTCAAGGCCAGCCTGAACTACATAGTGAGACCCTTTCTCCAGCTCAGTCTCCTGGTTGAAAGTGGGCGGAGCGAGCGGGACCAAGTTTCTCCACTATAAAGTTATTCTTTTTTGTTTGTTTTTGTTTTTTGAGATGGGGTCTGGGTAGTTCAGGGTGGCTTTGAACTCAGTGTGTAGCCCAGGCTTGTTTTGAACTCACAGCGATCCTCCTGCCTCAGCCTCCTGTGTGCTGGGATTACTGACATGTGCCGCCACACCTAGCTCCACTGTTATGTTATTTTTTAATCCTCATTATCCATACAGTACAAGGAAATCACTATTCAGAGCCTACACTTAAGGAATAGAAAGTTATACTCTCCCTCCTTTGGAGTAGAGTATCTCATTTATTTAGAATTCTGCACAGATTTATCTCTTCTTGTGCATTTATTAAATTATTTGATTATTTCCCCCCCTGGAACCAGGGATCGAACTCAGGACCTTGCGTTTGCGAGGCAGGCACAGTGCCCCTGAGCTAAATCCCCAGCCCTATTGATTATTTATTTATATGACTATGTACTCATATGATTTTATACTTTAGATTATAATGCAATACTGTGTATATATTAATATAGATATATAAATATGTCTAGATATATGTATACAAATACACATTTATTCTCAAATTTTTCTAGGTTTGGCTTTGGAAGCTCTTTCATTGGTTCCTTTGTCTCCTTGACAAAGCTCCATCATTGTGTGTGTGTGAGGAGGGATGTTTGTTTTTAGCACTTTTACTTTCTTGTATTACAAAATTGTCAGGTAAATGGGGGCAACCCCTTGAAAGAACACAGTCAGCTTGAATTTGGGGTTCCGAATGAGATCTCCTTAGAATAACTATGAAGGAGAGTCTGACTCAAGTTTATTGATTGGGGTTTTTATTGACAGGCTTAGGTGGGTGGGGGTCAGTGAAGTGAGACTAGCTGAGTGGCAATGGCTATATGCAACTGCTGACATAACAACAGCTAATTTTTTGTTGTGCTAGATGAACCATGTCCTAGCAATGCAAGCTGGGTGTCAACAGGATGTGGGGTACTGTTTTGGGGCTCAGGTGGCTGGGAACAGCCTCTCTGGGAACTTGGTTGGCTGGGCCAAACAGAGGTCAGATCTATTACTACTCAAGAAAATGAAAGACCTCTGCAGTGAAAATTACAGTATGCTGAAGAAGGAAATAAAAGAGGACATCACAAAATGGTAAGATATCCCCTGTTCCTGAATAGGTAGAACCTATATAGTCAAAATGGCCAAACTTTTAAAAATTGATATACAGATATAATTCAATCTCAATCAAATTACCAACAAGCTGGGCATGGCAGTGCATGCCTGTAATCTGAGCGCTTGAGAGGTTGAGGCAGGAGGATCACTGTAAATTTGAGGCCAGCCTGGGCTGCCTAATAGGTTCAAGGGCAGTCTGAACTATATAACAAGACCCTGTCTCAAAAAACAAAAACAACAAAACAACAAAATCAACATGGCAACAGCATTCTTCACAAAACCAGAGAAAATGATCCTAAAATTCATGTGGAACCAGGAAAGACCCAGAACAGCAAAACCAATCCTGGGTAACAAGAGCAAAGTGGTAGGCATCACAACCCCAGACTTGAAGTTATATTACAAAGCTACAATCAAATGCAAGGACCTGAGTTTGATCCCCAGTACCAAACAAAACAAAGCTACAGTGATAAAAGCCACATGATACTGGCACAAAAATAGACACAAGGATCAATGGAACAGAATAAAGGATGTGGAAACAACCCCAAACATATTCAACTATTTCATCTTTCACAAAGGGGCCAAAGACATACCTTGGAGGAAAGATAGATACTTTAGTAAATGGTGCTGGGAAAACGGGCTATCAACATGCAGAAGATTCAATCTAGACCCATATCTCTCACCCTGTACTAAACCAAAATCAAATGGATCAAAGACCTAAATGTAAAAACTGAAACACTTAGCCTGATGAAAGATAAAAATAGGCAAAACTCTTGAAGTCATAGGGATATGTAAGGACTTTCTGAAC